GGTCAGACAGCGACAAGTGGGCAAACCCTAAATTGGAATTAGGTTCCAAATAACAATTTATTTGTTATTTATGCTAGTCTCCATGCCTCGGGGTGGGTGGGGTGTTTTTCTCGCCCGGCTGACAGCGGCCGCATCGGAGCCGCGCTGCCGCCCTCTCCCGGCTCTGCGCGCCGCAAAGCCTGCCGAGACCTCCGCATTCCCACACCGGGGGAATGGGAAAAAAGGGAGGGAAAGGGGAAAAAAAGAAAAGGGAAAAAAAAAATAAAGGGGAAAACTAAAAAAAGAAAAAAGAGGGGGAGAGAAGAAAAAAGGAAAAGGAGAAGAAACAAAAAGAGAAAAAATAAAAAAGAAAAATGGAAAGTAAAAGAGGGAGAGGAGAGGAGAGGAGAGGAGAGGAGAGGAGAGGAGAGGAGAGGAGAGGAGAGGAGAGGAGAGGAGAGGAGAGGAGAGGAGAGGAGAGGAGAGGAGAGGAGAGGAGAGGAGAGGAGAGGAGAGGAGAGGAGAGGAGAGGAGAGGAGAGGAGAGGAGAGGAGAGGAGAGGAGAGGAGAGGAGAGGAGAGGAGAGGAGAGGAGAGGAGAGGAGAGGAGAGGAGAGGAGAGGAGAGGAGAGGAGAGGAGAGGAGAGGAGAGGAGAGGAGAGGAGAGGAGAGGAGAGGAGAGGAGAGGAGAGGAGAGGAGAGGAGAGGAGAGGAGAGGAGAGGAGAGGAGAGGAGAGGAGAGGAGAGGAGAGGAGAGGAGAGGAGAGGAGAGGAGAGGAGAGGAGAGGAGAGGAGAGGAGAGGAGAGGAGAGGAGAGGAGAGGAGAGGAGAGGAGAGGAGAGGAGAGGAGAGGAGAGGAGAGGAGAGGAGAGGAGAGGAGAGGAGAGGAGAGGAGAGGAGAGGAGAGGAGGAGAGGAGAGGAGAGGAGAGGAGAGGAGAGGAGAGGAGAGAGGACTGTCCTTCAATTAGGGGGAGGCCAAACACTGGAACAAGATCTCATGGAAACGCTGATGGTACCAAACTTTTGCTGTTCAATAAGCATTTGTACAATGATCTTAGATATATTGTTTCACTTTTAGGTTGTTGTGTGGAGTCAGGAGTTGTATTCAAAGATTCTCACGGGTCCCCTCCAACTGAGAATATTCTATAATTCTAAGAAGTAGCACTAAAGCTCAATCCCACTTAGTAGTACCATGCTTGCAGGACAGGAACTCAAAATACAATAGCAATATACTAGCAAATGCTAACATTTGATGAAATAAGGCAAATAGACTTCACTTGTATAATATTTTTTCTCATTAGGTTTCTCTAAAAGAGTACCAAACACTTTATGAACTACCAGCACTAAAACCATTATCAGTTCCAGCTACCAATTCTTGCTCCTGGGGCAGGGAATATTTTATGCCGCACACTGTGAAAGACAGACAGGGAAGGGATACAGGAAACAATATCTCCATTTCAGAGTTCAGAAGAGAAGCACAAAAAGACTAAAAGGAAAAAGCCACCCAAAGCCACTTGTGCACTGGACTGAGCTGGGCATATTGCATAAAAGCATAAACAGTTTGATCTGTTCCATTGTGGCATTTCAAAGAAGCAGGAGAGGAGACGAGGGCAGATGCTTCTGTGCTATTACTAACACAACATTTTCCCATTTTTACTTGTAGAGATTCTGGAGAAACAAAGACTTTCCTCCTTGTGTCATAACTGCTCGGAGGTTCTCCTGACCTTTGTTTCCCCTCCCATTTTTCCAGGTGATTAAGCTGGGCAGTCAGAAAGCATGACTATAATGCCAAGAAGCCAGCAATTTTAACACCACAAAAGGATAATTGTATAATACTTCAGGCCATATCAGTTTCAGCACAGGCTGACCCTCAGCTGGTGATGACAGAGCGCCAACAGCTCCCAGCACAATGACTGACAGAACTGGGACATGGCAAATTGCACTTTCAAAGCCTGCAGCAGAGTTAGGGGACTCGCTTTGCATTAAAACAGGCTTGTACCATATTCTTAGAACAAGGGATAAAGTAGGACAGCACATGACTACTTTCCTTCTAAACCATTCCACTTGAAACATCTTTCATCCTCCTCTCATTCTCCTTTGCTGGCTTGTGAAAGACAGTTGCCCATACTACTAGTGTAACATGGCCTGAATTCTTACACTATACCACACATTTGTACTAAATTAAAGAGATTTTTGCTACCTGCAAATGTCATTAATTGGAAGAACAGCTTAGGTTGTGATATCTATCAGTGTGTGAGTAACCTCAACTCAGGGGTGCAATTGAACCTGAGTATATTATTGCTGAACTAGAGGTCTCAGTGTTATACCTGTAAAGACTAAGCCATAACTGTGGCACTCAATTGTTCAATATTTTGACCCTCCCCCCAAAATATTTGCTCACATTTTCACCAATTGGGTGCTCTGTAACACTCCAAACCTGTATGTATGTAATGCTGACTCAGTGTCAGCAACTGGGGAACCAGAGCGAAGATCCTGAATTGGAGACCCTGGACTTAATCAGAAGTCCACATACAGGTGAAATCTAGGTTATCCCACGGATTTTCCACTCTGGGCAGAGAGGAATCTGAGTTGCATTGCTCAGCTTCAGGATGTTTCTGCATTTTTGCCAGTTACTATCTAGCTTTTAAAAACATAAAAAAAAGTTGATCCTTTTCCCACAGACCCCAGCAACTTTGCTAACTTTTCTCGGCTGTGGTGTGACTTCCCGTCAACATTCTCCCTGCAGGATATCCCACGGTCTGAGGCAAGGAGCCCTTCCCTGGGAAGGGAACTTGAACCCATCCAGTCCTCAGCAGGAACTGAAGGGAGCCAAACATCTCTCTTTCCAGGACTTAAGGTAAGCAACAGCTATTACAAAGACAGTCTTAAACATACCCCTTAAAAATTTAGGGCAAACTCCTACTCTCAAGAGATCACTTACCTACCAAAGTGATTAGAAAATTCCCTCCTCTGGTCCTGAGCAAGGCACTCAAGAGATGGGTAAAATACCTCCTGACATCTCCTCTTGCCACCCAGATTCTATCAGGCAAGTAGATGGAAGGACTTGAGCCCTTACTCTAGGAAACAAGGATTTGACAACTCAAATTCTCTTCTCTCAATTCTGTAATGTTCTGGATGTGTGATTAAACTCTGAGCTGTTGAGTCCTGGTGACTCAGTATGTGTATAGTAAAACTAGTTTCCTGTTCCTGGAGCTTTAAAAAAAAAATCAGTATTCATTTCAGCTTGTGCTGACAGCTGAAACTATAAGAAATATTAACCTAATATTTTTATTTTCAGTGTGCTTTGAACAGAGCAGCCTTAATTTAAGAGTCATTTTGGCAGTTCATTTCCCAAAAGTAACTAAAACATTCTTTCCAAAATCCATGTACAAGCTGACTCACAACATGAAGTTCCACTCAAGCTGTGACATAGCCACAGTGGATTTAATGCAAAAGTCATTATCTCAATTTACATGGAGACCACTCTCAGTGGAAAAAACCCCAATAAAGAAATCTTTTAGAATTAGCTAACAATCAAGCTAAAAGCAGGGGTCATCTGGAGAAAGGATATTTTTGTCTTTAATTCTTGAATGGCTCTAGAAAATTCTGTATCAGTGATGGAATTTTTGATTCAATTACATGGGGTGATTTAAATACATAAAAAGGTAAGTACAAAACTTCTGTTAGATTTTGCTTAAAATATAGTCAAAAGAGACTATGATTTAACTGAGACTAGAATTTCAGACATGCTTTAACATGTCAGTGTTGCTCCCTGGATATTCATCCTGTACAGATCAGTCTATTTACAGATTAAGTGCCTGGAAACAAGAGAGGTTACAATATTAAATATATACAAAAACATGGAATTAATTTTATAACTTTTGCTAAAAGAATTGATAACACACAGCACAACTGGCCCAACATCTATAGATCTGCTTATAATTACGACTTTCTACTACAATAGCTTCCTGTCTACTACCATATGGGTAACCATTGACTCACAACAGTAGAAATGTCACTCTGACTCAATACTACTAAATGCCATTTTCAGAAAAGGAAATACAAGCACTGAAGTGACCAACAAAATGGAGCAATTATGTAGTTTGATATCTGCTTTATGCAGTTTGAGACTTTTTATCAATTCCTTTCAACACTACAAAATGGAAAGTGTGTAAGAGGTAAGTTAATTTAAACCTGCTTTGCCATTATCATGTTAAGCAGTTGACAAGGTTCTGATATAATCAGTGGTATAAAGGTCCCAAAGTAAAATCCTAAATAGTCACTACATAAAATATCACTTCAAAATAGAGTTACACCTGGTAAGAATCTTAATTTATCAATAATTATGTATCACTAAAGAATAAGCTGATAAAGGATTTTCTTTCACACATTTCTTGCCTCTCCCTTCCATCACAGTGCTAAGCTCATGAGCTGTGCCTGGACAAACAGAACTGCAAGACTGAGTGTGGGAGAAGCAATCAAGGATGGAGTGACAACAAAACAACCAGATGCCAATGGTGCCTCTTCCACACTTCAGTCCTCAGGTATCACAGCAGAACAAGGAACCCTCCTGAATCCAGGGTTTCCTAATAAAGACAGATTTGAAGAGGCACAGCCACTCTCCTAAGAGATAAAAATAAAATGTTGATACATTCTATTGTCAAATAAGCCTGTAAGATCAGAATTACATAGTGTTAGGGTACTTTATTCCAGTTATACAGTATATATATATATATATATATATATATATATATCACATTCAACTGTTCCTTTAGCCTAGCACAAATCTCAATTAATCCTCAGGGTAAGTTTCTTTCAACCAACTTTTTAAATTAAATGTTAATGAAGGCCCATAACTTAAATTTCTGTCCCTCCATTTATAAAGTGATTTTTAAATATCATTGAAAGATAGCACTTGGATACTAACAGTCCACTGCAAAGATTTCCACTAAGAAAACAAGGTGAAAAAAAATACCCTTGTCCCCAAACACAGAAATTGTACCAATAAAAAAAAGGCCAAATAAAGGTTTGTTACAAATTTTACTTATAGAAAAGCATCATTTTAGCATCATTTCACAATAAAAAGGAAAGATCTGTTCGATATTATAAAGACATGGTATATCAATTCAGAATGCAACAGGTAAAGCACACCACAATACTCAGTGTAAAAGGTTTGAGACACACTATTGTATTTAGCCAGTTACTCCTGGTGCCTCTTTGTGGCTATTTTCTTAATTACAGGATATTTTCTCTCAGCTTCATACATGTCAAAAGTATATTTTGGAATATAAAAACATGGAAGTGTTAAAATACATTGAAACATGTCCAGAAAAATCAAACCCAGGACTCATTTCTCTATATATATAAACAGCTCTACCTTGTATATAAACTATCTGTACCATCATTCTACTCCCCCTTACAAAAAAAAGATTAAAAAATGTCTTGATGCAGAAAATTTTTCCATCTTCTCACTTCTGCATTCATGCAACTTCATGATCAGGTTTCCTTTTCCAAATACTAAGGTGTAAAATTAACAGTTACTTTTCCTGGGGCTTTTCCAACATCTTCAGTGCTAATCTTCCAACCATTAGCAAACTGTATAAGGGGAAAAAACATATCATTTAACATTAATAACAACAATCTGTCAATTCATTTTCAGATACTTCATTCAAGTGACACATGGGAAAAAAAACAATACACAAAATATGATTCACTCCATCCCAGTTTAATTAAGCAAATAAGAAATCACACACAGGAGGTTAAAAAAAAGTATTGTACCTGACACCAGCAATTAGCCCTGCAGGCATGAATTTTCTGGAGTGGTAAAATCTTGTTCCCATGACAGCAGTCAGTGCTCCAGATGTAACTTAAATGAGAGATTGTACAGTCCAGTCAGCAGAGATGCATGTGTGGGAGGAACATAATTAAAACTAACAGAACAGAGAGAAGTAGCAGCATCAAATAAAAAGAGAAACAGGGTTACTTCACTTTACAGACTAAGAGAGTTAATAAATTGTGCAAATTTTAAAATGCCTCAGTTTGTAAAGAGTTCTATATCAAGTTCTAGCAGACAGTGCTCTCCATATGCTTCTGCACATACTTCTTAAATTTGTTTTTCAAAATGTGCTCTTTTTGAGACTGGAAATAATTTATGACACACTGCTCTAGAACTCCTTCCCCACACAGGCAAATCACTAAACTTGTGCACATAATTCCCTCATGTCTCAAAAAAGAGAGAGAGCATTTCTCTAACTTGTAGTAATTATGTCTAACATGCAGCATCATATTTTATTTGTAGTAATGTTCTAAGAATTAACTAATTTATGTTTTCAAAAGTCTTCAAAAGGGAAGTGTGCTAAGCATTACCAAGGTGAGAGTTAATTGTCCCTGCCCACTTGACACAGAGACAGGAGCCATGTAGTTTCACTGACTCAGTAAGATAGGACAGTCCACAGAACATGGTATCTCAAATAAAGACTGAATGCTAAAAACTATAAGGAAAACATACAGTGATGAAATCCTTATCTTTAGTATGCATCCGCTACCCAGCGGTAACAGCGACACACATGCTGTTCCAACTCTTATCCTCCACCATTGCTTTTAGGTGATGACTTCTGTGTGAACTGGTCCCGCAGGATCCAGTTCATCTTCAGTCCTAGCTATGACATCCTTCCTCCCTAACACCAGACAAAATATTGTCACTGATACCTATCAATCTCATCTAATAAGATATGTAAGAGATTGGGACCACAGTCCAACACACAATAAAACAAAAATATTTTAGTATTAAAATGTTTCAAGCTAAAATTAGTAGCCTGTCTTCAAAATATCCACACCTCAGAATGAAACAAAATTTCATTTTGTAGTACAGCGGTAGAACACATCTTCAAAAGCTTTAAAGCATGAAGAGGAAAAGACTCCATATGCTACTGAGCTACAGAAATGTATCTGTCTCTCTCATTTGGGAAAAACACCTGACCTCACACTTCTTAAGCTTGCTGTATCAGCAGTTTATTAAGCTATTAAGGCTTGACCACACACAGCTTCTGGCCTGGCCAGTAGGTGTGGAAGTGGACTACCTGTAGACAAAGCTGAAATGGAGAGAAATGCCGGGCCTTCCCCTTTCACTTCTAATTTTCACATGTGAAAGAGCCAGATGCTGTGTCACTGCTTCAGAGAAAAAATGCTGTAGTCAGTGGTGGCTCTTTAAAGACTGACTAAGCAGTAACTCTCCACAGTTACCTTCTCAAATCAGGGGGAAGGGAAGCTTCCAATTCTCAGGAAGGAAGAAACAGCATTACTGAAGCTTGCTTCTCTCTTAAATCTCCTCAGGCATCAACATCTTTGTAATTTCACACATTTGTCACTTATAAAAATAAGCCAATCATAATCTCTGCCATTTTCTGTGATAATAAAATAGTCTGCTAGGGTCAGTTTGAAGGGGAAATCCCACTTCCCAAAATATTACAGCCTCCTGCAGGATGCTTAAAGTAGGGCGATCCAGCCAAAACCAGGTCAGAAATCCATTTGTTAGCACTTCCCCTGCACTATGATCCTTCAAACACATCAGTATGAGACAGATGCATATTGGCAGCCACCACTTCAGTAAAGTTTGGACAGAACTAAAGTTAGATTTGTAACAGTATCTGTGCTTAACCTTTCTGCAAAGACCTTTAAGTACTCATTTTAAATATACAGGGTAAATATAATCTTTTCAAAATAAAATTTTAAATTACTTACTCAGAGAAACCCAAATGTTATTTGGATTCTGTGAGACCTGATAAGCACCCAGTCCAGCCAAACTCCCAAAGAAAAGGCCAGCAGCTAGTGATGGAAGACTACCTGAATAAGTAGAAGGTAATGCATTTCTTAGAAACTTAAAGATTACCTTGGTCTGCAGCTTAACTGTTTTGTAAAACACCAAAAGTTATATATAAAAAAAAAAAACATGGGCATTCATCATTCATTGACATGAAGAAGATTAGAGAAGGAGGTTTCTAAGATATTGAGACCATGCTGATCAGCATCAAGAAACTTCAATTACTCTTGCATAACATACATACAGAATTAGTACTTAGTTCTCTAACAGCAAAGCCATTAATACATTCATGATTGAAAGAATAGTGAGAAAAACAAAAGAATTGGTGTTTTCCTTGCACAAACTGAAGCATGTTGTTTCAAAACAGTATTATGAAAATTCCTTTTAGGAGTAAAAGAGGCAGTAAAATAGAAGGACTAAATTGTAAGGATTTAAGATCAGAAAAAAGGATATGTGAGTGGAATTGGGCAGGAGGGCATTCAAAGAATTAGCAAGGAGCAGGGCGTAGTTGAACAAGAGAAGTCATCTCTCCTAAGTACACCTGAGATTTGATCCAAAGGTAACTGCAGACTTTGGAAGAAGGTTCCCTGAATGCACCTAAACTTTGAATCAAGTCCTCAGTATAAATGATAATCCCACAATACCAGAAAATAAAGGATACCACATCTAAATTGGTGATTTATAGAATATATCAAGCAACGAAGTTGCATCATCACTGTGAGTGGTGAATGCCCTCCATAAGGCTAATGGATAATTATGGACTTAATGCTACTGAGGGTGGTTCTTTATACATTCCATTTCTGAGGTCACCTTTCAAAGAGTTGAGATTGGAAAGCTAAGCTGATAAAGATCTCCTCTCCATGTTAAAGGAGGACTGCATATTGCTTCCAGAAAATAATAATTTTTCAATCGTCAACAAGGTTGCTGTAATATTTCTTTATATCCTGCTCTTGGTATAAAAAGCAAGAAACAAATATGACAGAAAGCACCTGATATACTTGTATATGTGCAAGGAAAAGGTGCACACTCTACTAGGTGTCTGCTTTGCACAGAATGTGAGTTAAAAACAAATCTGTGGTAGCTACAATGCTTTCCACAAGCCTGGGAGCCAAGAAATATCCATCATATCCTTGAATTTTACCCCAAGGCATTGTTTACGTAGCTATGACACACACACTTCTAGGACAACCACATCACCTCTGGCTCAACAAGTTTCTACATCTCAAAACACAGAGACCCAGAGAACTTGCTAAAGGAAGACCGAAAAATAAAATTATGAATCAATAAATCACTCACTCACTCTTTGATTGCCATGTTCTCACACTGTCCCAAAGGCTATTACTGCCCCCTGTCTGTGTGGGTAGATAGATCAGATTGTAAAACAACAGATTAGATCAGCTTAGCACTGTGCATGAAAGCTACATTCTCTTTTGGTTTCTCCAAGTTATTAGTAAGGATACAATGTCTCCTTTGTATGGTTGGGTTTTTTTTTCTCTCCAGAAGTCACCATATGAGTTTCTGTTCCCCTTCAATAATCCTGTGACCTGGATTCCCTTGCCTGAGTATAACCACGTCCTCCCAATTGGGCTCCAGAGGACAGGACCTATCATTTCATAATGGCCTTGGAGAAATACAGATGCAATTAGTTACTTAAGTCTCAGTATTGTCCCTTCTGTCCTAAAGTCCACTCACAAGCCAAAGGATAAATCCAAGCCAATGGAAAACAGACTGGAATAGGCACTAGCATCTATCTAGTCAAATGCATTGGTAAGAGTCTTACTGACTTCAGCAATGCCCCTTCCTATCATAAAAAGTAAGATGGCTTAGGGATTTTCAAAGCTGAAAGAGACAGTGTTGCAGCAGGAACGAATCCACAGTTCTGTCTGGAGGAGGGCAAACTCAGAAAAAGGACAGGAAATGAAAGCAGTAGGTCAGAGGGTAACCTTATGATGCAGAGCCCAGAAGAGAAACAAGTTTAAGGACTGATTTGCACTGTTCAGCTGTACTTGGAGAAAAGATAATTCTGAAAGCTCTCTACAGCTTGCAGAATACTGTTATCATCAAAGATTAAAAAGGGAATAAATCTCTTAAGGAGGAAAAGTGGTGATTTATGTAATTTGAAGTTACAGAACATTCATATTTTAAAAAGCAAGGGAAAAGCCTTTCTGAAGCAAACTTATGACAGTTCACCCAAAGAGCACAGCACAGATATCAGCACCCACCAGAAAGCAGATTATGGCCTTATCAGCCCAACGCACCAACTCAACTCAAAATCCAGCACACCCTACCAGCAGCAAGTTATCAGCACATGGCACAAACCGATAAAATTTACATATGGGTCAAATTCGAGATAGGAGGCTTTCGCAAAAAGCTGCCCAGCTCACAGCAAGTTACTGGGGAGAGGGAGGAGGGGGTGGGGGGAAGAAGGAGGGAGACAGAAGCACCTTTCGGCACCCTACCTGCTTTCGCATAGCCAATGATCCCTCCTGATGTCACCAGGGCGGCGTAGCCGAAGCCGAGCCAGTCCACTGCCATGCTGAAAACTGGAATAGAAAACTGGGGTGAAGATCAGCACCTCTGAACCTTTTTCAGGGGAGGAAAAATTTCAGAAGTAAAGCATTTTGCTATGGCAAGCTTTTCCACAAGCAAGACCTGCCTAGAGCCTAGGCCCTGAGGCGAGCCCGGGAAATGCAGCCGGCTTTGCTGGGGTTGGGAAGGCAGCCCCGGGACACAGGGACGCTGCCCGGCCTCACCCGCGCGGCGGCCCCGCTCTGCAGCGACCGGGGCGGAGCAGGCGGCGGAAGGGGAGGCGAGGCAGCCACGCACCGCCCAAGGCTCCCCCTTTCCGGCTGTTCTGGGGAAGGAAAGGAAAGCTCCAAGCGCGAAACCGAGGAAGAACTCACCCAAGAGGCAGGGCAGGGCGAGGCCAGCAGCCAGGGGTCTTTCCACCTACCTGCAGAGCTGCCGGGAATCCCCCGGCACGGAGGGAGGCGGGAGTGCCCGAGCGAGCCCGGGTGCCTCAGTACAGACCGGGGTTTGTGCTGGTGTTCAGTGAGGGGCAAAGCTCCTGCACAACTGCAGTAGTGTGCGTCCAATCCATCCCGGTCCTCATCCAAAAGTGGGGTTACGTGGTACAGCTGAGAATTTGGGCTTGGTTTTGGTGTAGCATGAGCTACGACTCTGGGCAGCCAGAGGCTGCTTCTAGCTTTGATCATTAATTTCAATATAGCTCTTGTACGGTACACGCCGAGGATTTTTACCACCTCCAAATTCCAAACTAGTACAACAGAAAAAGCAGTCTTCGGCTGTAGAAGTTATGCAACAGCGGGAGATGGAAAACATCTTGTAAAGAAAATGTTCAGCTTTTTTTTTTTTTTTTTAATCTGGAAAAATGTAGAGATGTTTATAACTGCCTACAAAGCTAAACTCTTTCTCTTTTCTGAGTGCTGAAATGGATTTTCTTCATATAATGGTCCTCCATGATATTACTCCAATTGTCCAGGCACTTCCTTCCCATGGACGTTTCACTATATAGAAAGAAAAAGTACTGCTATAGCCAGATCCCTAAACTGAGTGTGTTCAATTCCTCTTCATAAGAGAAGGCATAAAACATGAGAAGCCTGTACTTTCTGCAAAATGCTTTCCATAGCTCCATTTCAAATTTTGCCATCTTTATGAATTAGCATAATGGTCAGAAAGTGAGTAGCAATTTAATTCCTTTGTTCGCTTCAGTGGTTTAAGTAGGAATCGCCTCCCTTCGTGCAAAGTACCACAACCAACACATATCCAAGCTATAGTGGATAGTGTTTCCTCTTTAATTCAAGCTCTGTAATAGCTTCACTGGATCAAACTTCACTGGGCTCTGCTTTGTGATCCAGCAAAGGGATTGTCCAAGAGAGGAAGCAGGAAAACGGGAGGAAATCCACAGCTGCTGGAGCTCAGCTGAGTTGCTGCTCCCTGAGCTTTGTTCCTTGCAGCTATGGCTCCATCTATTCTCCCAGTGTCGTGCACACCCACCCCTTCTGACAGGGATAGCTCTGCCACTGCTGACATCTCCTCTCTCTGTGCTACAGCCTCCTCCCCTCTAGCATTCTAAGCAGTTCCCTGACAACTAGAATGGAAAATGTGCTGAAAAGGAAGATGTACACAAAGATGTAACAACAAATTGCAAAATACTCATTAGTAGCAGAGTATTCACTCAAGGTATGAAAAATACGGGTTTTCCCCTAAGGACTGTTCTTCTCTGTCTCCAGTTCACAAATTGTGCTGAGTCTCATGAGATGGATAGTTTTTTGTTACTACACAGGGGGTTTGGATTTTTACAAATGTGTAATATTTCAAAGTGCAAACTTTAGAACCCAAATTCTGTGAAGTTTTGCTTTTTAATCTTAAAATTACATGCAGACTCGATTTTTTTCCCTAGTGCTTCTGCAAACCTGCTTCTGCAGTTGTGATGATTTAAAAATTCAAACAGTAAAAAGTGGTTTACTAGTGGCAGACATCTTATGCCCATTATCAAGGACATAAGATAAGCACTATCAAATAGGCATAAGACTTTACAAGTGAAATCACTGTACAATTCCCTTAAGTCTTGTATTTACTGTAGAAGCCTTAGGAATTTAAAATCTGGCACCTTTATGTCAAGTCAACAAACCATTTGAAGTCCTATATTATTTGCATGTGTTTATGAACACAAACATTTAGGGTATCATTAAAATTCAAAACTCTGTAAACTCAAACTTAATACCTTTAATGTTGAATTAAACTGAGATTGCCTAACTCAACTATATTGAATATCTGAACAAGAGGCTCTGATCATTTACCTAAGTAAGGGAAACAGTTACAGAAGGTAAATATGGACACACACTTCCAAGAGAATACTGCTACTGCCACATGAACAATTCTGTAACAGCACTGATGATGCTCATTTTGTTTCAGTGTCAGAGCATAGTGCTGAACTGGAGTTACATTGTTTTAGATCCCTAAACCAGCCTGCATTCCTGTCTCCAGATTTGGCTCAATCTTTTTTCTGATTTTCTCTACTTTTTCTCTTGCTACACAAATAAGGAGGAATGGATGAAGTGAGTAAGAACAAAGTAGAATTACAATTACTCTTTGAAAACAGAAATAGTAATGACTACTCCAGTAGTGCAGAAAACAACATTAACATGCCTTAGACCTTAAAATAAAGAAAGGAAACATTTAGTTCACCTCTTTGACCTTGTTCAATTTTGTTTTCCCCACTGTATATTTGTAATAAGGCTTAGGATGAATTCCTGTTCCCACAGACTGAGAACGTCAGGAATTTACTTTTTGTTTAAGTGCAAACAAAAGAGGAGACATTTTATCAGCATGGCAAAAATTTCAGGTGTTCTATAATTCTTTCGTAACAATATGGCTCAGATCAAGAACTTGAAAAAATACATTGGGAAGGGGGAAGAAAAGGCAAAACCTTATTGATATAAACTCTTCTGCCTAAAATTATGTATCATATTTTGAACAAAATGTTTCAGTGAACCATGTGAACCATGGGTGCAAAGATTTTCAAAAAATTTAAATATATTTAAGTATCTACACAGTAAAAAAGTCAAACATTGTGCTTATAAAGTCCATGTATAAGTCCACATCAAAAATCAGAAATTACAGTTTTCCATGAGTGTATGAATGGGATGTGATAATCATATTTTAAGTATTTTTAACATGTTCTTTCTTACAGTAGGAGAAGAAATGCAGGACAAAGGCAGACCATACCTTGAGTCAAACTGAACAATAACAGTTTCAACACTAAAAAGTGTACATGTTTTTAATATGCAATTAAGTGAAATAAAAATGTAACTGAGACAGATGCAGCTATTTTTATTATTTTAGCTGGCTTTTTCAGAGCCAGTTAAAGAGTGTATGGTATTGTTAATAGAAAAAATATAAACATTACATATTTAGGAATTAATTTTTGCTTTTTTCACTTAGGGAAAGTTCCCAGAATGATCAGTCAGTTTATTAGGGTAAGAACATTAATTACATTTAAAAACAACATTGGATCAGAGGTGTATGTCCTGTTGGGGTTTAGATTCTTATAAAAACGAGGGCAACACAGCATTTACTTTTTGTACAGGAGAGAAAGTAGCTGCCGTCATGCCGAGTTATTCTGTTTCTTTTTCTTCTTTTGCACTGGAGCTTCCAGCTTTTGTTTCCCTGGAATAATTTTTCTCTTTCTTCGTGCTATTTTAACCCTTTTAGTAGTCCAAAAATCTTTGTTTATCCTGGCTATTGATGATTTTTCATCTTCTGTTTCTGAAAAGAAGCAAGGAATTATTCACGCTGAACTTTATGTCCAATCTTTATAGTGTAAATGGCACAGAGACTTATTTGGATCTCATTTTTAAAAAAAGGGTTATAAATAGCTTTTTATTTTACAGTGGTGCCACTTATGCTAGCTTTGCCTGTGAAATTAGAATACATAAAGATCAAGTATGTAAATAGATTATTACAATGCAGGAAAACAACAGCAGAAAACCCAAACAAATCTGAGCTAGACTTCATAAGTTTGCCCAGCTACAGTGGCCTCACACCTAATTTTGCTTATAGGAAAATAAGACATGCAGCTCTGTCAACTGTTTGTTTTCTTAACTATCTCAAAAGCTTCGCAGTGGCTTCCACAGTATGTTATTCCAGCAAACAGAAAGAGAACTTTAATAAATGTGAAAAGAGGCTTTTGTTCTCCAACAATCATATGGGCTTGAGACAATATCAAATTGGTAAGTGTATGTATCACTTGCCAGCATCATATCCCCACGTCTTCAAAATTCCAGAACATTTTCCAGTGGATATAGGAGAAGCCTCCCACTTGGTGTATTCCATTTCACAGTCACATTAACAATTCAAAATACAAAGTTCTGTTACCTTGACATGATGTTGCAGTTTTATCAGAGTTTTCTTTCATTTCTGAAGCTCGGTCAAGCCATACTGCAAGACATGTCAGCCTGGCTTTGGTATTGACTTCACACAGTAAAGATGGCCCATCTTTAATCTGAAGAAAACATAAAAGAAGATTATTGAAACTTAATTTTATTTCTGGTTAAACTTAATGAAGTATTTGAAGGGAGAAAGCACATAAGGTGCCCACTTTCATTGTTAGGCAATTGTATCACTCAGCTCTTGGAACACAAATACTCTATTACAGTTATCAGGGGATAAAGTGTCACAGACACATGGGCAGTGTTAACAGCATCAACCCACTGGAAACTACTGTATTAGGATATTCTACCCCCCAGATCTGGACAGAGCAGCCCACACAGTTATGCAAAACTTTGCCTGCAGGGAAAGGAATTTGGTCAAAATAAATACAATGTTACACAGAAAGGTAAAGATCACTCTGTCAATTCTCTACAAGGGGAACAGAAATGTAAGGTGAAGAGGAGAGAGGAAAATCGCTCCTGCACTTACAAGTATAAAAATAATCAGAGTGGGTGAAATTAAAAACAGGCAAATTCATAGTTGAAGTGTATACATGTTGAGAAATAATTGTTTAAACTAGGCAAGATACTTATCATATAGTAAATCCTTTGTAGGCAATACATTGTAAAAATCTATTTCTGATTTTAAGAGTGAACAATAAACTTTAAAGATAAGACATGATTCCTTGCTGAAGTGTGCTACTCAAAACTGTTTGAAAATACAGGAAATACAAGTACCCAGTACATTAATGTATTTTAATTTTTCCAAAGGCTAAGTTCTTTGCCCAACATCAGCAACCACCTTCCCTTGCCCAAACCACAGTATTAATGTTTTTAAAAGAGTAGCAACAGTCATCAGCATTACAGAAATTCAATCCATTACAATCCTTAACTGATTGCACAGTCATAATATACATAACTGATTAGACAGTCAAAAGCCTGGCTAGGTCTGATGGGAAGCATGACTTTACATAAAGTGGAGATGAGATCTCAGAATATCATCAGATTTTATAGTTTGTTTAAAAAAAAAAAAAAGTACAAAGATGAAAAAAAATACGAGTGCATGAATATATGTGCATAGACATACATCTCTACATAACATAACATGGAAGAAGATCAAGACATCTGCATTTTATGTAAAATTTCCGCAGTGATTTAAAATTAACTCTTACAACAGAACTCTTTGCAATTCTGTTTCTCTTATAATTTTCTTAAATGTAACAAACAGTGTAATACACCAACCTTATCAAGATCCAGATTCCACATTTTAATGTAACCATCACTGGATGCAGTAACAATAACTTGCTGTCCTTCTCTTTCAAAACTAAAAATATCTTTTATTCTGTGAAAAGGAATACATTTTTATCTTATAGCATTGCAGTTCATGCCAGACCAGTAAGCTGAGACAAATTAAAGAAGAATAGGCAACAGTCTAAAAAATCAGTTTGAACAAAAAAACCCCAAGTGACAGGCAGGAACTTGGATCTCCTTTGAGTGCTGTCATTTATCTTAGGAACATTTGCCTTTGCTAGGCTTATTGGGATTCAATTCAGAACCCTTTAGTACTGTAAAGCATACACTATTAGACACATCAGTAACATTACTGCTAATGCTTTTGTGTTTTGATGAATTCAAAGCAACATTTGGACAAATATTTGGTATTCAAAAACAGAGAATACATAATTACACTCCTATTGTTTGAACTGAATAAAACTGGTTTGTTTTTTTAAAGCATTCTAAAGAGCCAGATTCAGTAAAGAGTTGTTAAACACAAACACACTCACTCACAGATTTAGAATAGCAATATTCTTAATTCTGTGTGCTATTGTTTTTGTAGCATGCATGGACAGCACAGTACTTATGCTCATACAAAAAATAAACAAGTCTGTTTGGAATTTAGCACATAAATATATTTACTTTCTATACTAAAACAAAAGTAAAATATGCCGAACATTACAAGCTGTAGAACTTTAGAGAGAACTCAGCATTGATGTAAGTATTTAAATAGTAAACAAATATAGAATACCTGTTTTCATGAGCTTTAAATTCACACAAGCATTTTTGAGAGTCACAGCTGTAGAACCTAATCATTTCATCATCTCCAGCTATGGCAAGGATAGAATCCTTGGAATGGGGAAAGAGAAATGCAAGTGTGATTAATTTAGTGTGTTTCAAAGTGTGTTTCAAAGCAATTAAATTTCCCAACACCTCTTGGTTTTGTACTTACTGTAATAAATCTAAGTGAAGAAATCCTCTTCTCTGTTGTAATGGTGCCAGTGATTGAAGCTGTGTCAAGTCTGTAGATATCCACTTTGTTTGTTATCACAGTCACATACTTCTCTCCATCGGGGGACCATTTAATTATGTGTGCATCTGTACACATTGATACAGAGAATGTAAAAGTAAGAATCTTTAGAAGCAGCTTCTACCTAGACCTAAGAAAATATTCACTGAAAAATCAAATAAATTAGAATAAACAGCTATGCTATTAAATGTTTATTTCTGATTATCAGAATCCATAAGGAAAAACAAGCTGAAATACATTTATTTAAATGCTCTGACCTCAAATTTCAAGGAAAACAAAGACTTACTTTCGTGGTACTATGTTTTCCTTTTGCTAAAATATTATAATTAAAGACATGAGCTTGCCTGCACGTGTAAAAAAGACATTGTGAAAGTTTGCAATTAACTGACTTGATTAATTCAGCAACTTTTCTTTACACAAAAAACAAAACTATCAAATTGCACTTCATTAGTGGATTTAGACTGATAAACTCACTTTGCTTCAGGTTTTTGATGAAGGCTGATCGTCCTTCAACAAGATTCCAAGTTCTGAAACACAACAACAGGTAACATGCATTCTGGTTAAAAACAGCACAGCGAAACTGAAATCCAGTCTGCTGTCATGAGACACCCAAAGGAAGCTTTTAAGCCTCTCTATGCATTTTTCTGCCTTCTTAATGCAAGAGAAAATGATGAGTTCATGTATTGCTTGCATATATTGCATTGCTATAATGTTGAACTTGTGTTATTTATTTTCTAAACTACCATTTGCAATACTAAGCCGAAAAGGAGGCCAATAGAAAATTGTGCTATTAAAATAGCATTTTTATAGCTCTCAAACAGGTATCTACAGCAACATAGAAACACTCCAAGTGAAAAATCCCACTAAACAAAACCTGTCACTTTTCAAAAGTTTAAGCAAATTGTCTTCCAAAATGCAACTATATTTATACATCTACAAGTGACTTGTGAAGAATCAGAGCTCACAAGAAGAATGTATGAACAGCTGGGACTTAGTATTTCAGAAGACAAACCAATGGATATTTGAATAATTTGATAACAAATATGTTTTATCAGTGTTGCATGGCCTAGTCCCAACATGGAATTGTTGCTTATTAAGAGTTACTGAATTATTATTCTCAGCACTCCATCAGTTTTGACTCACCTTAATGTTTTATCTGTTCCAACTGACAAAGCTAATTTCCCAGAAGGATGAATAGAAAGAGATGTCACGTGTCCCCTGATAAAAACAAAACATTAGTCACATGTATTATTTACAAGGAAAATAGACATGAAAATGTACACAAATATGAAGATTTAAGAAACTTACTTATGTGCCTTAATGGATTTCAGACATTCCCATCTCTTGGTGTTCCAGATACAAATGAGTCCATCTTCAGCCCCACTCAGTAGATGTGCAGTCCCATAGAACTCCAAACAAGTTATCGTGCCTAGAAATACAATTAACAATGTTGCACACACCAAACAGTTATTGCACAAATTAATAGAGAATGTACAACTTAACAGAAAAGCTTCTTCCATCAAGGCATGCCAGCTACTACCCTAACCTTGGGAAAATCTAAATTATTTTCTAAGTATTTCTTCAAAAAACCCTCAAATTTTCTTGCTATATTCAATAGTCTGATATGCTCTATCAGGCACCCTTTACCCACACACATCTGAACTCCATCTGGTCTGTTCTCTGTCACAGCACTACTCAAAGACCATGGCAGAGGGCTTCTATCAATGATAGGAATGCTCCCGTGTCAAAGCCCTGCTCCTGACACACAGCTGAATTTACGGCACACGCTGCTTCCCCATTATCACCAGAGGTATCATACATGAGTTAAATGCTCATACCATGCTCAGTCTAGCTCCTGGATCTTTTTGATTAATCAATACTGAGCCACAAATGACCCAGATGCACTCTCAGCAAGTTTACAGATGACATCAAACTCTGTGAGTGGTGAGGGATGGGATGCCATCCTGAGGGACATGAACAAGTTCAAGTAGTGGGCCATGGGAACCTCGAAGTTCCACAAAGCACAGTGCAAGCCAGTATCAGCGCAGGTGGGGTGATGGACAGATTGAGGGCAGCTCTGCTGAGAGGGACTTAGGCTTGCTGAGGGATGAGAGGCTGGACATGACCCAGAAATGTGTGCTTCCAGCCCAGAAAGCCAAATGTGTCCTGGGCTGCACCAAAGGCAGCATGGGCAGGAGGTTGAGGAATGGGATTCTGCCCCTCTGCTCTGCTCTTCTGAGACCCCACCTGGAACACTGCCTGCAGCTCCAAAAGGTCCACAGCATAAGAATGACATGGACCTGTTGAACCAAGTCCAGAGAAGGGCCATGAAGATGACCAGAGAGATGGATCACCTCTCCTGCAGGAAAAGGCTGAAAGAATTGGAATTGTTCAGATGGGAAGAGACTGCAGGGAGACCTTATTGTGGCCTTCCAGTACTTGAAGGGGGCTTAGAAGAAAGATAGGGACAAACCTTTTAGCAGGGCCTGTTGTGATAGGACAAGCGGTAATTGTTTTAGACTAAAGAAGGGAAATTTAGATTAGATGTAAGGAAGAAGTGTTTTCACAAGGACAGTGCTGATACACTGGAACAGTTACCCAGACGTGTGGTTGATACTCCGTCCTTGGAAACACTCAAGGCCAAATTGGATGGGGCTCTGCGTAACCTAATCTCTTTGACGATGTCCCTGCTCACTGCAGTGGGTTGGACTAGATGACCTTTAAAAGATCCTCTCCAACCCAAACTGTTCTGTGACTCCATCATGTACTTTGCAGTTGTAATTCAGGCAGCACATACAGTGGGAAATGTACCAGGTTAGCTCCTTTGGCAGCAGCAGCCTGCTCTCACACACAAACTCTCTTTTGTGTGGCTCCTGTGCACTTGTGACAGGACAAAAACACTGGGAAAGACAGTAGCTGGGAGTAGGCATGGTCTAAATAAGCCATCCTGATAGAAGAAAAATGGCACATTTGTGGCTCATAACTTCTTAACCAGTTAAAACTACAAATAATTTAAAGCAGCAGCAATATTTGTGAGCTAATACCAAAACAATTGTTTTTATCTTCTATCTCAAAAGCTTACCTTGTTTGTATGATCACACCATCATGGCTGCAACACCATCTCTACTACAGTCTTATTAGTAAAAAAAATCAATTTTCTTCTTCTAGCAAGGGACATTCCAGCTACATTATTTTATCATTAAGGTTTTTTACAAAGGAGTGCTCCCTTACCATTGTGCTGTAGCAGCGCCCCATGTTCTATCCTCTTTTTCATGTCATAGATTTGTATTGTCTCATCTCTGCTCCCAGTGACCACATATCTGTTATTTACTGCTACAGCTGACAATGAGGCGGAGTGGGCATGATGTGTAAAATCAGGAACGACTGTCCACGACTGTAAATGAAATGCAAAACAAACAGGTCTTTCTCCAGCTCACCACAGAAAGCTTCCACTTCATTGTCCTGTAATTTTATTTTTTAAAAGCAAAAGCTGAAAAAGTGTATGTGTAAAAATCAGAATCACAGAATCAAATAGGTTGGAAAAGACCTCTGGGATCATCATGTCCAACCCATGACAGAATATCACTGTGTCAACCAGACCATGGCACTGAGTGCCACCTCCAGGCTTTCCTTAAACACTATAATGGATGGTGACCCCACCACCTCCCTGGGCAGCCTATTCCAATGTCTAATCACCCTTCCTATGAAGAAATTCTTCCTAATGCCCAACCTAAACGTCTGCTGGCACAGTGTGAGGCCATGTCCTCTTGCCCTGTCACTGGCTGCCTCAGAGAAGAGGCTAACCCACACCTGGCTACAGCCTCCTTCCAGGCAATTGTAGAGAGTGGTAAGGTCCCCCTGAGCCTCCTTTTCTCCAGACTAAACAACCCCAGCTCCCTCAGTCACTCCTCACAGGACTTGTGCTCTAGACCCTTCAGCAGCTCCATTGCTTTTCTCTGGACCTGCTGCAGCATCTCAATGTTTTTTCTGAATTGAAGGGCCCAGAACTGAACACAGCACTCGAGGTGTGGCCTCACCAGTGCCGAGTTCAGGAGGAGGAATTATACTTAGCTGTAAGCATAATGGGATCTTACTGAGTTAATGTGCTGTTAGAAGATTAGTCCAAAGGATTTAAGTGTGCAAACCACCCCTTGTAATCAGTGTTGCGCTTAGACGAAGCTGTCTCTGCACAGAGATAAATCACAAGAGCAAGAGAGGCGGATTCTCTCGTTTTCTATCACGGCAGGCTGGAGACACGCCTTCCACCTGGCCCCAGCCCACGTCCCATCCATCCTCCGCACCGCGTCGGGAGGAGCGACCTCGCACCGCAGCCCCCCGCACCCACGTGGCAGCCCGCAGCCCGGAGGCTCCGTCGCTCCCGGCCGCCCTTCGGGCCCGCGAGGGGGCCGAGTCTGGCGGCAGAGGCCGCGGAGAGGCCGCCCCGCCCCCGCAACGCGCTTTAAGAGCCCCGGCGGCGCCCGGAACCGCGGCTGCGGACAGGCGAGACGGTGAGTGCCGGGGCGCGCTTCCAGAGGGGCGGCCATTTCCCCCGCACGCTTCCCTGGAGGCATTCGAGACCAGGCTGGATGGGGCTCTGAACACGCTGGTCTCGCGGAAACTGTCCCTGCCCATGGCAGGGGGGTGGAACGAGATGGCCTCCAAGGTCCTTTCCAACCCAGACCGTTTTGTGCTTCTTCCCGTTCCCCCCACTCCCGTTACCTGGCCGGGCCGCGTGGCGAACCCCAGCAGCACCTGCTCGTAGCACCCCGCCACCAGCTCCATCCGCCACCACGCGGCGCCGCCCGGGGACTCCCGCCGGCTCTTCCGCCGCCCGCCCGTCCTCCGCGGTGCCTGCGCCGCTCCGCGCCGGCCCCGCGCGCGGCGTCTCGTGCGCTCGCTCCCCGCGGGTGAGGAGAATCCCAGGGAGCCGCCGTGGAGGGGGAAGCGCCGGCGGCAGCGGCGAGGGGTTGGGCTGCGTGCGGGCAGCCTGCGCAGGGGGGCCTCGCGGGCGGAAGCGGCGCTGGCGGTGATGGCGGCGGGGAGGACGAGAGGCGTTAGTGCCGGGATGGCGAGGGGGGAGGGGAGCGGCGGTCGGGATCGGGGGCCGCTGACGGGGAAGGGGGTGCGAACCGGGATGTTGGGAACGAGGCGGGGTGGGTTGGGCCGGGGTGTTCGGCCCTTTCCCTTCCCCGGGGCCGCGGGGCCCTCGCCTCCCTCAGGGCGCGCGGGGCGTGGAGGCCCCGGCGGCGCTTGGGCCGAGGCACCGGAGAACCAGCCCCTCCCCAGGCCCCGGCCCTGCTGGCTTTTATTGTTATTTCGTCGGGTCGTTTTATATTTTTTCATTACTTAATTTTTTATCGCGTAGCACAGTAAGCAGGAAGCGCGGCCCCGGCGCCAGTGTGGCCGTTTGCGGAGGGCCGCGGCCGGGCGGGGCGCACTTGTGGTCGGGCTCTTCCGTCGTGCCGAGTGGCTCGGTTAGAGAAATGCGTCACAGCTCGGGCCTGGGCTCGGCCGGGGTCACCGCGCCGGCCCCAAGAGCTTTGCGGGGCTCCTTCATCCCCGTGCCCTGCCCCAGGCATCGTGTGAGCGAAATTAGAACCAAAGGAAGCGGGGCGGATCGCCCGCTGCCTGGTTGAGCGGTGTCTGCACGGGCGATTCGGGCCGTGAACAGCTTCACCCACCTTCTTGCCCATATGAACGCACTAATGCAAGAAAGTGGAATAAAATAAAAAGTTGCTATGGGGTCTGTGTAATCCAATTAAAGATGAGTTTGAATTCTGGAGGTTGAAGCTGCCCTACTGCTTAAATGAAAGCTAGCTGTGACTGTAGATATAGTTAAAGGAAATGTTAAAAAAAAGAGATATATTAGTACACGCTGGTTTAATTGCTTTTAAAATGTTCTTGTTTTGTAGTGAAAAGGTGAACATTGGGCAGGGAGGCATACAAAACTGGTTTTGCATAAAAGTTGGTGATAATCGGCTGAGAAACATCACTTGACTCCTGATAGCCTCTTGCAACAAGAGCGCTCTGTCGTGTGTGCCATCTTCCATCAGGTCTGAACAAGTGAAAAGTGGTAAGTTAAAAAAAAAAAGTTACTGCACAGCTGTGAATTAAAAATTCAGTATTTCAGTGTTGAGAACATGGAGGAGTTTATGGTTCTTATTTAAAACTAATGTTAGAGGACATTTTTACGTGGTTATTGTGTTAATAATGACCACCCTTAACAGGAAGTTGCTGCTGATAAATCTTTATAGTGAACACAATGACTTTCAGTTAGAATGTGCTCAGTGTAGCATACACAAACCGTACTAGTATTATAGGTCTCTTTGTACTTGACTTTTTTCTTGGCTTCACAACGGCTGTGGGGATGAAGTCCGTAGTTACTTTGAATAGCACCATGCGTGGATGCCCTAATTATGGTTTATGGCTATCCTGTGTCAAGTTAGTGTAATCCGTTTTCAGAAGTAGTGCTCTGAACTGCTCCACTCTTCAGGCAAGCCTTGAAGGCATTGTAGATGCTCTCTGTTTATTGCATACTGTAGCTGTGGATTTAATCAGCCAAGATCTAAAACATTACATAAATTCTTGTATGGAAATGGGAACTACACCTTTGGCTATTGAGGATCTGCACAGGAGATTTACCAGATGTAAAAAATTGGTAGGGGTGAAGAATGCCTCTGTGTGAAAGTAAATGCAGAGTATTTTGCAAATGAATTTGTTTTTTGCACTGTTTTATGTTTGTTAGATGACTAGGGGGAAAAGCCTAAAGAAAGGATATTGGGATAAACAAAGATACATAGGTCTTCAGGAAAGTGTATCCACTGGTTTAGTGATGGCAGTGAAATGTTATTTGCTGGTTTTGGTTTTGATGGTAATGAGTGAAATGTGTATGTGGAAAAGGGAAGAGGGAGGAGAAAAGGTGCAGAGAAAGATCATGTTTGCTTGTACTGTGCCTTCATCTTGCTTTTATTTCTCATATTCTTTAGCACATAGGAAGTACCACTGTTTTCAACTGCATAGTTTGTGGTATGAGTAAATTTAAATTTGGCTAAAAGGTGAAGAAACCAGGGAGGTTGTACAAAACATATTGAAACCTCTGTCCTTTGACTTGCTTTTAACTATTTTAAAATCTTTTGGATTATTGGGTTATTATATGTAGGTATTTCTGAATTAAGGGTAAGGTATAGGGGACTTAAAAGATCTCTAGAATTTTCTAGTGCTTTGGACTGTGGGAAAACTTTGTGGCCTGTTACAGCTTAGGACAGTGAAGATTATATCTAATCATAATCCTGTTGGCCATATATCCTTTTTATCTCCAGTGTTTTAGCAGTGATAAGTCAGAACTTACTTTTTTTAAGTTCTGAACGAATAACATATGGTGGGCTGAACATATTTGGAAGTAATTAATATTGAGGATAAAATCCTTCACCTTCTTTTTCTCCCCCACATCTTTTTCAGCTGAAGGAGTGTAATAAATTGAACCTGTGCAGTTACACTGTTCGAGAAAGACAGAAGACAGTTTGAACCATGGCAAGCCAGGTAAGATCATTTAGTCAGAAATACAGACTTGCAGTGCCTAAATGGATTCCAGAACCATACTTGGAATTCCTAATAAATATAAAGCTGACATAGCTAGCTTGCTCTGAGTTGGATGTTCTTTTAGTCCTAAGATTTCTTCTGGCAATGTGGTAATTGGTGGCTGTCCTCAAGACACTTAATTGTGTCGAGTCAAGCAGGTTGGGGGGCATTACATGAAGCTTTGCAGTTTGCATTATTTGAGCGCGAGTTCTTTTGAAGAATCTTGCGCATAACACTCTGTATAAGATACGTGTGGAGATGTTATAGAGGAAGAACATTAAAGCCTGCGTAAGTAAATTCTATGGAACATCATTCTTATTTTTGGAAGTCCTTGTTCTTAAGAATCTTCATTGAGGAAGGCAACCGGTGTTAACAAGGCTATTTCCCCTCTTCTTTTGTGTAGTTGCCCCACTCACTTCTTTTTTGAGCTGTGGGTTTTGGGGTTTTAGTTTTTTTTTTCTTTTTTAAAAGTTTTTTCCTTTTTTTTTTTTTTTTTAAATTCCCCGAGAGGCACCTTTTTATGCCTCTTTCTTCCTGGCCTTGTATCTGGGTTTGACTTTTCCTTCAGCCATGCTAGGGCCCGTTCCTGGTCTGCTTTCTCCTTAAATTCCATTAATCTGCCTCTTGTTGTTCCTGGCCTGGGAAAGTGACTCACTGCTGGGTAGTGAGGAGAGGCATCTCGCAGAAGAATCCTTAGGTGAGGGGAGATAGGGACAGTGAAGATCCCCTCTAGGCAAGAGTGACAATTTCCCTGCCTCTTCATCATGCAGATTGTGCTGCGGCAGGGTTTTTTGCATCCTGGAGCTCAAGCGGAACACAGTCCAGTCCTGAAGCTAATTAACATTTAGGATTGGCCAGCATCAAAAGGCTATCTGGTTTGTCCCTAATTCCCAGAGGAAGCTGTCAATCCTTTAGCCAGCTTGACAAGTCAGGGGAATATGGCTGTTCATACAATCCTTTGGCTCTGTTATTTTTGCCAGGCGTTTTCCCCAGAGGCTGCTTTCCCTCATGGGAGGCGGAGGGAGAAATGGGACCCCAGGCTTCTTTCAAGGGCAAGGTGAATATGGGGAAATCACCTGTGGTGATGGGGAGTGGGAGGGAGGAATGTAAATGAGGCTAAATACTATAAAGGTGGTTTTTTTTTCTCCCTACAGGACTTGATGGCAAAAAAAAGAGAATGTCTCCAGGCCTACAGTTGGTGGAGAACACCGCAGAAGAAACGGAAGAAAAAGAACAAAATAAAACCAGGAAGAATAGAGTTTGTGCCTAGCAGTACTAACACAACCAGGTAAAGACCTTTAGAAAGGAGCAACTCTGACCCTTTATCTTTTTAAATTGCTAATGACTAGTGAATGTCATAGATTATTTTAAAAATTCTGAAATGGCATACCTGGTGCCTATACAATAAATATTGCTTATGCAATTGTATTGCCATGTGAATAATGAAGATTTTTTCCTAGTTTGTCTCTCATAATTGCTTGAGATGTGATGTCAAAATAGTCTTAGCTCTTTTTGAGCTCTTTTTGAATTCTGGCTGTAATTTAATATTTTTTCTTGGTATTTTTGGATATCCTGCCCTTCAGACAACAAATAATAGTTTCTAAAACCAACTTGTAAAAGGATTCTTTAATAAACTTGGATGGGTCTTTGTTGAAATGCTTGCAAAAGTCGTAGAATGGACTTAAAGAAATTAAGAACTTGCTGGAGTGATGGCATTGCAGTTCTGTGCTTAACACAGTTTTGCTTAATGCTCTCTTCATATTTTGTCTCCCTATTTGTCCAGTAATAACTACTTACTTGTATGTTAGGGACTTTAATACTGACATGAACTGTGTTACTCTGAAACTTAATGGTGGTTCTCCTATCTTTTTAAAGACCGGATTATTCAATATTTGTTGGGGAGCTGACTCCAGAAGTAGATGATTTTCAGCTCTATGACTATTTCCTAAAGAGGTACCCTTCCTGTATTGACTGCAAAATAGCAACAGACCTGCTGGGATATTCCAGGTAATGCCTGTGAAAATGTGTTAATGCTGTATGTTTGTTGCTATAAGTAATATATAAGAACTTACATTTGAGATGGGTTTGAATTTTCTTCAGAAGCAGGAAGAGAGATTATTCTCTGGCATTATTTTTTAACAACATAGATCCTTGAGGTTCTGAAACTTTATGGTTAGTTTTAGCTAACTAATGTGTTAAGCTTCAATTCAGCCAAATGCATATCTGCATGAATGTGGTTAGATGGTGG